TACTTAGGGCCACAGAAACGTTACTCAGGGACACAGAACCGTTACTTAGGGCCACAGAATTGTTACTCAGGGACACAGAATTGTTACAGAACCGTTACTTAGGGCCACAGAATTGTTACTCAGGGACAGACACAGAATTGTTACGGAGGGCCACAGAATTGTTACTGAGGGCCACAGAACCGTTACTTAGGGCCACAGAATTGTTACTCAGGGACAGACACAGAATTGTTACTCAGGGACACAGAATTGTTACTGAGGGCCACAGAACCGTTACTTAGGGCCACAGAATTGTTACTCAGGGACACAGAACCGTTACTTAGGGCCACAGAATTGTTACTCAGGGACAGACACAGAATTGTTACTCAGGGACACAGAATTGTTACTGAGGGCCACAGAACCGTTACTTAGGGCCACAGAATTGTTACTCAGGGACACAGAACCGTTACTTAGGGCCACAGAATTGTTACTCAGGGACAGACACAGAATTGTTACTGAGGGCCACAGAATTGTTACTGAGGGCCACAGAATTGTTACTGAGGGCCACAGAACCGTTACTTAGGGCCACAGAATTGTTACTCAGGGACAGACACAGAATTGTTACTGAGGGCCACAGAACCATTACTTAGGGCCACAGAAACGTTACTCTGACACAGAATTGTTACTGAGGGCCACAGAACCGTTACTTAGGGCCACAGAAACGTTACGAGGGCCACAGAACCGTTACTTAGGGCCACAGAATTGTTACTCAGGGACACAGAATTGTTACTGAGGGCCACAGAATTGTTACTGAGGGCCACAGAACCGTTACTTAGGGCCACAGAATTGTTACTCAGGGACAGACACAGAATTGTTACTGAGGGCCACAGAACCATTACTTAGGGCCACAGAAACGTTACTCTGACACAGAATTGTTACTGAGGGCCACAGAACCGTTACTTAGGGCCACAGAAACGTTACGAGGGCCACAGAACCGTTACTTAGGGCCACAGAATTGTTACTCAGGGACAGACACAGAATTGTTACTGAGGGCCACAGAACCGTTACTTAGGGCCACAGAATTGTTACTCAGGGACAGACACAGAATTGTTACTGAGGGCCACAGAACCGTTACTTAGGGCCACAGAATTGTTACTGAGGGCCACAGAATTGTTACTGAGGGCCACAGAACCGTTACTTAGGGCCACAGAATTGTTACTCAGGGACAGACACAGAATTGTTACTCAGGGACACAGAATTGTTACTGAGGGCCACAGAACCGTTACTGAGGGCCACAGAACCGTTACTGAGGGCCACAGAACCGTTACTCGGACACAGAATTGTTACTGAGGGCCACAGAATTGTTACTCAGGGACAGACACAGAATTGTTACTCAGGGACAGACACAGAATTGTTACTCAGGGACAGACACAGAATTGTTACTCAGGGACAGACACAGAATTGTTACTCAGGGACAGACACAGAATTGTTACTCAGGGACAGACACAGAATTGTTACTCAGGGACAGACACAGAATTGTTACTCAGGGACACAGAATCGTTGAATTAAAGAGTATGTCAGACAACATGCAGAGGAATGGCAGAGGAGGCAATGTTTTAGGAGCGAGCAGACGTGGCAGCAGAGGAAGGGGTCGAGGCAGCACTAGTCGCAGCCAGAGGCCAGTGCTCCCGGTGTCATCCAGCGGTCGTGTCTCCACCGACAACCCTGCCGTCATCGATTGGTTGGCTCGGTCGTCTTCCTCTCTCCAGGTCACCTCTGACACCTACAGCCAACGGTCGGTGTGTACGTCAGACACAACCGTTAGTTGGCATGGCCCGGGAGCAAGCCCACTGAAATCACGTGTCCTCTACCTGCCCGTCCTTTGCTGTTCCCTCACCAAGCGAAGTATCGCATGCTGTGGGCTCAGCCCCACTGTACAGTGAGGAAGAGCTAACAGAGGGCGGTCAGGAACGGGGGGAGACATCCGCCTTTTCAGCAGCCAGGCGAAGAAGTACTGGCGAGGAGAGTGGCTCGGTAGCCGGTCTAGAGACAAGTCTGTCTCCTGACCCACACGCAGCCGAGGGGGCTAGTAGTGAGGCGGAGACCCTACTTGATGATGAGGAGGTTGATCGCACTTGGCAGCCTCGTCGTCATCAGGCAATTTCTTCCGCATCATCAGGAGAAGAGGGTGCCAGCTTGGCAGCGAGCGAAACAGTCGGTGGGTTGCCCAGGAGACAGCAGGGTCGCAGCAGTGTCAGTGGAGCCAAACGGCCACGGAGTAGAGCACCAGCTCCACTGCAGCCTACCAACACGGCCAGTAGTGGTGCCGGTGCGCACGGAGGAAGTAGCAGTCAGCCAGTGAGGAGTAGCGGGGGCAAAGTTTCCTACTCGGTGGTGTGGCAATTTTTTCGTCAAGCCGCCCGAGGAAGTAAACGTAGCCGTATGTCGACTATGTGGCCAGAAAGTCAAGCGTGGCCAGGGGGCCCATGTTGGGACTACAGCGTTGCGTCAGCATATGCAGCGTCGCCATTCGGTGGCCTGGGAAAACCGTGATAAAGATACGGCGGTTCTGCCTGCCCCAGCCCCCGCTCCATCACCCGCTCCGTTACTTGCTCCGTCACCCGACGTCAATCGCCCTCTATCAGCCAGTCAAGGCTCCAACACCTCTGCTGAGGGGAGTTGTCGCTCGTTGGCATCTTCCGCTCGTTCAGATGCTCCTTCTCCGGCTACTCCTCTTCACGGATTCCGTCAGCAGTCTTTCTTGGAATCCGTTTCCAAGAGACAACAGTTTGCGAGCACGCACCCGACGGTGCAAAAGCTGAACGTCCTCCTGTCCAAGTTGCTGGTGCTGCAGTCCCTCCCTTTCCAACTGGTGGACTCAGCACCTTTCCCGAGAAATGATGGCTTGTGCCGCGCCACGGTGGAGAGTGCCAAGCCGGCATTTCTTCGCCAAAAAGGCAGTGCCAGCCCTGCATTCACATGTAGAAGAGATGGTGGGCCAGTCTTTGAGCATGTCGGTCTCTGCCAAAGTGCACGGCAGCGCCGACGTGTGGAGCTGTAACTACGGTCAGGGACAGTACATGTCATTTACGGCCCACTGGGTGAACGTGTGGTGCCGGCACAGCCGCACCAGCAACTTGGACAGGTCACGCCGCTTTTGCCTCCACGTTTGCACGTCCTTGGTCCAGCAAACATGTCCGCCTCTACCACCTCTTCTTCCGCCGTGTCCTCAGCCGCCACCCCCGTGCCAAGTCCCATTACCCGACCGGCATATCACATGTGCAGGGCGCAACGGTGTCACGCTGTGCTGCACCTGGTATGCCTTGGCGAACGTAGTCACACAGGGGAGGAACTTCTGAGTGTAATGAACAGAGAAATCGACAGATGGCTGTCTCCGCGCAAACTGAAAATCGGAACCATGTTGAACGGAAAGAACATGGTGTCTGCTCTGCGTCAAGGAAGGTTGTGCCATGCGCCATGCATGGCTCACGTGTTCAATCTGGTTGTCAAGCGGTTCCTAAAATCCACCATCCCACTGCAAGACATCCTTAAAATGTCACGTAAACTTTGCATGCATTTCAGCCATTCCTACACCGCAAAGCACACCCTCCTTGAGCTGCAGCGGCAGAACGGAATTCCACAGCATCGCCTGATCTGCGACGTTGCAACAAGGTGGAATTCAACCCTACACATGTTAGACCGCCTTTACGAGCAGCGAAAGGCCATCACCGATTTCCTGATGTTACAAGCGGATAAAGGTACTCCCCTGTGTAACTTCGATGTCAGCCATTGGCAGCTCATGCGTGACACCTGCCGCTTGCTCAGGCCCTTTGAGGAGGCCACGCTATTCGTGAGTCGGCAGGACTATGGGATGAACGACGTCATTCCTCTGTTGCACGTCCTGGAATAAATGCTGTTAACAATGGCTGGTCAGGGTGCGGTAGACGTGGCGCACAGATCTCAACGCCACATGACCCCTGTGGGGGCAGGACAGGAAGAAGAGGAGGAGGTAGAGCAGGACATTTGTGCTCAGGAATTATTGAGTGAAATGGGTGGTTTTTCCACTCAGCGGACAGGAGTGGAGGAGCAGGAGCATCTGGTAGAGGAGGAGGAGGAGGAGACAGAGGACCCAGACGCACCATGGCAGTATGCTGTGGAGATGGAGGCAGGGAGTCCCTCGCATTCCTTGGCACAAATGGCCCAGAGCATGCTCGGTTGCTTGCGTAGCGACAGCCGAATAATAACCATCAGACAGAGGGATGACTTTTGGCTGTCCACCTTGTTGGACCCTCGCTACCGTTCCAAAATGGTGGCCTTTTTCACACCTGCTGAGAGGGAGGCCAAAATTACATACTATAAAAACCACCTATGTAGTCAGTTGGTCTCTGCCTTTCTGCGCCAACGTCCATCCTCAGACACTGTGGGCCCTGTGTGCTCGCGTTCCCGCTGCCATGGCAGCAGGGGAGGGGTGGGGTGGTAGGAGCAGTGGCAGCTCCACCAGCAGCGGCTGCCTCAGTCTGCAGTCGATGATGAGTAGCTTTCCTCACCAGCGCAGTGAGGAAACTACTAACCAGCCGCAGCAGCAGCAGCAGCAGCATCAGGTGGACCTGGAGCAGGAGCTCAAACAACAGGCTTGGGCCTACTTGGACAGCACCCTGCCAACCGAGGTAGACAATCCCCTTGACTACTGGGCAACGAAACTTGACCTTTGGCCCCAACTAGCTGAATTTGCCCTTGAAAGGCTGTCATGCCCGGCCAGTAGCGTGGCATCGGAGCGCGTGTTTAGTGCGGCAGGAGGATTTTGTAACTCCGCGGAGGACACGACTGTCCACCCAAAGTGTGGAGAGACTCACGTTTGTGAAAATGATCAGGCGTGGATTAGTCTGGATTTCAAACCACCAGTTCCTGACACAACTGACTAAATCCGCCATGAATCATGCCCCAAACATGTGCCACTTTCAGGTCTCCGCACACTGCTGCTGGGTTCCATTTTGTCATAGGGTGCTGGCAGATTACGGGCCTCCCATAGCTGCTGCCAGGCCCCTAATCTGCCATGGGCCCCTGTACCGCCTCCTCACGCTGCTGCAAGGTCCACAGTGTGTCATGCTATGTGCCACTTTCAGGTCTCCTCACACTGCTGGTGTGTTTTCATTTTGTCATAGGGTGCTGGCAGATTACGGGCCTCCCATAGCTGCTGCCAGGCCCCTAATCTGCATGGGCCCCTGTACCGCCTCCTCACGCTGCTGCCAGGTTCACAGTGTGTCATGGGTCCCTGTACCGCCTCCCATTGCTGCGGTCTCCAACGCCACACTCTGCCATGTGCCACTATCAGGTCTCCTCACACTGCTGCTGGGTTCCATTTTGTCATAGGATGCTGGCAGATTACGGGCCTCCCATAGCTGCTGCCAGGCCCCTAATCTGCCATGGGCCCCTGTACCGCCTCCTCACGCTGCTGCAAGGTCCACAGTGTGTCATGCCATGTGCCACTTTCAGGTCTCCTCACACTGCTGGTGTGTTTCATTTTGTCATAGGGTGCTGGCAGATTACGGGCCTCCCATAGCTGCTGCCAGGCCCCTAATCTGCCATGGGCCCCTGTACCGCCTCCTCACGCTGCTGCCAGGTCCACAGTGTGTCATGGGTCCCTGTACCGCCTCCCATTGCTGCTATCTCCAACGCCACACTCTGCCATGTGCCACTTTCAGGTCTCCTCACACTCCTGCTGGTTTCCATTTTGTCATAGGTTGCTGGCAGATTACAGGCCTCCCATAGGTGCTGCCAGGCCCCAAATCTGCCATGGGCCCCCGGACCGCCTCGTCACACTGCTCTGGGTCCACAGTGTGTCATGGGTCCCTGTACGGCCTCCCATTGCTCCCACTCTGCCATGTGCCACTTTCAGGTCTCCTCACACGCCTGCTGGTTTCCATTTTGTCATAGGTTGCTGGCAGATTACAGGCCTCCCATAGGTGCTGCCAGGCCCCAAATCTGCCATGGGCCCCCGGACCGCCTCGTCACGCTGCTGCTGGGTCCACAGTGTGTCATGGGTCCCTGTACGGCCTCCCATTGCTCCCACTCTGCCATGTGCCACTTTCAGGTCTCCTCACACTCCTGCTGGTTTCCATTTTGTCATAGGTTGCTGGCAGATTACAGGCCTCCCATAGGTGCTGCCAGGCCCCAAATCTGCCATGGGCCCCCGTACCGCCTCGTCACGCTGCTGCTGCTAGGTCCACAATGTGTCATGGGTCCCTGTACAGCCTCCCATTGCTGCTGTTTCCATCGCCACACTCTGCCATGTGCCACTTTCAGGTCTCCTCCTCACACTCCTGCTGGTTTCTATTTTGTCATAGGTTGCTGGCAGATTACAGGCCTCCCATAGGTGCTGCCAGGCCCCAAATCTGCCATGGGCCCCCGGACCGCCTCGTCACGCTGCTGCTGGGTCCACAGTGTGTCATGGGTCCCTGTACCGCCTCCCATTGCTGCTGTTTCCATCGCCACACTCTGCCATGTGCCACTTTCAGGTCTCCTCACACTCCTGCTGGTTTCCATTTTGTCATAGGTTGCTGGCAGATTACAGGCCTCCCATAGGTGCTGCCAGGCCCCAAATCTGCCATGGGCCCCCCGTACCGCCTGGTCACGCTGCTGCTGGGTCCACAGTGTGTCATGGGTCCCTGTACGGCCTCCCATTGCTCCCACTCTGCCATGTGCCACTTTCAGGTCTCCTCACACTCCTGCTGGTTTCCATTTTGTCATAGGGTGCTGTATGGCCTCCCATTGCTGCTGCGCTCCACCGCCACACTGTGGCTCCAAACACTGGTTTTGGCCCCGTGACTGGCCAAATGAGTGAAGTGTGCAGTGATTCTAAGATCGACGGCACTCATCTGCATGTCATACTGACTGACAGTATTATTTCTCTTCCCCAGCAGACTCCAAGGGCATTTAAATTAAAGGTACAGTGTTCTGCACTAATATAAAGTCTCTCTGAAGCCTAGAAACACCCTTTTTTAAGTTAAATTCACAGCGAATATATTCGACTCGAATCGAATATTTTCCACGAATTCGCCGAATCAGTCGAATCGAATTTTTGAATACTTTGCTCATCTCTAGGTATGACACAAAAAAGTGGAGAAACAAAAAGAAAAATCTGACACATTCAAAAACCCCCAAAAATGGACTGGACAAAATTATTGGCACCCTCAATTTAATATTTGGTAGCACACCCCTTAAATAACTGAAATCAATCGCTTCCTTTAACCATCAATACGTTTCTTACACCTCAGCAAGATATTGCTAAATAAATAATTAAATAAAGCAGCTTCAAATGCTGACTGGCAAACATTCTGTGGCCTTACAAAGGCCCAACAGAATCCCAGTGGCAACTGGCTTACGGCTATCTTTAACAAACCTATTCTTTCCGTAACCCTTTAATGCTTGTTTAACTGAGAAGAAACTAAAACCAGAGGGTAAGCTATTTAACTTAAAAAAAAATGATGCTCCTGAAACTATTTTATTGACATGGGCCCATGAGTAATTTAACGGAGTTCAGAAACAACAAGATCAAACCTTCTGAAAATACACCCTGGGCCAGGGGCGGACTGACAACTCATGGGGCCCCTGGGCAATAGGGGATCATGGGGCCCCTGTGTTCTTGCCCAAATTCAAAAAAGCCTATGAAAAAGGTACCAGGGGCATCTCATGGGGCCCCCTACTGACCCCGGGCCCTCGGGCAGTGCCCGAGTTTCCAAATGGTCAGTCCGCCCCTGCCCTGGGCTAAACCCAAAGAATTTGAAAAGGAGATACACAGCCACAAGGGCTGTAAGAAGGGGACTCTGCCAGATTGTGATGTAAGGGGACACTCTGCAAGACTCTGACCGACTCTGGAGTAAGGTGGTGACACTTTGGGGACACCGATGTGAATGTGGCACTCATCTTTACTGTTGCACTCCATATGTTGTTTTGTATATTACTTACACCTAACCCCTGTACTCTGTACATTATGCATTGATATACAGTAAATAAACCTGACGAAGGTTTCATTGTCTCAACAGTTGCTGGTTTTAATGAAATTCTTCCTTATGGTAAGCTCAGTAAAGCAGTCTATACATTAGTCGTTCTATGTTCAACATCGGGGTTCCTGAGTGGATGCGGAGATCACTCCCACTGAGGTATTGTGTTCTGACAGCAGAGAGACTTATTACTTTCCTAGAAGCTGGTTGTACAGAAGTCGATCGGTACACTGCCCTACAAACTGCTGATTCCAACCCTCTGCTCTGCTAACCCCTATCCTCTGATCTGTTGACCCCCAGTACACTCTGCTATTGATTTCTGTTTTTGTACACTGCCCTGCAGACCTCATACCCTGTGCCCCCCTGACATTTTTTACTACACCCCCATATATCATACTGGCTAGATCCGGCCCTGGTGCCTTGCCTACATTGGAATCCTACCTATGGAGACCTCTATAGGCTCCTAAGTCACCCACACTGCCTATTATTCCAAGTGGTACTGGGCCTAAGCCTAACTCTAGCATCATGTAGTGGCCACACAGGGAAATTGCATTGGGTACATCCAAGCCCTTACCCTACAGAAAAGTTTAGAGATTACAGATATTGTAATAGATGGTAGATGGTATGCGCTGGTACTCATTACCAACACAGGTGTGGGGGGTTGCCACTCCACAACCAGACAATAGTGACGCTTGCTCCTTTAGATTAGCAGTGCCCTTTTCAGACCTCCCATCAGCACAGACCTGCAGTGACAGACAACTCAGCAGATCACGTCTGTCACATGTAAACAAAGACCTGGGGCATAAGAATGCTTACGCTACTCTGTCTCCATCCTCTAGACAGAACTCAAACTCTTGTGCACACTTGCACCAACCAGAGCTGCTCATATGCAGCAACACAGACTCCTGGTGAAGGTGGAGCACAGAACTATAGTCAGTATCCATACTAAGAGAGCCTTGCACATTTGGAAAATCTAGATGCTGGCTAAACAAAAACTCAGTATTTGAGGCTCCAAATTTAAAAAACGCTCTCACCGCACTAAAGGCTCATATCCTATTTGGTAAATGAAGTGCATAATATGAAGTCTGTATTAGTCAGTAAATATCCATAACAATAATACCACTTATGTGGCAGCCATCCCAGAGTATGTCAATTCTATACAAATAAAAAGGAAGGAAGAGAGAGGCACCTTCTAAGTGCAGTATAACAATACAGTTTAATAAGCCACAGTAAAAAAACATTCAATGGTAAAATGTTAAAAAGCCCATCGCACCATGGAAAACAAGGCTACGCACTTGGAGCTACAGGCCTTTGGAAGGAGAATAAAGCTCTAAGCGCGTAGCCTTGTTTTCTCTGGTGTGCCACCCCCTCCCCTCTGTGACGTCACATCCGCCCGGCTCTTGCGGTCCACGCTGGTCACGGACACTTCTGGTCTTTGGTGGCAGCACTCTGAGACTCCCTCACCATCCACGGCAGTCCCATGGTGGTCGGACAGACTTCTGCAGGATGTGGATGATGGCAGTATACCTGCAGGCATTCTTACCTACTTGATGGGCTTTTTAACCTTTACCATTGTGAGTGTTTTTTACTGTGGCTTATTAAACTGTATTTATATACTGCACTTAGAAGGCGCCTCTCTCTCTTCCTTCCTTTTTATCCCTCCAAAGCCTCTATAAAGCCTGCAGGCTCCAGAACCCATTTTACTTTGACAATTTGGCTCTCTGATTTCAATGGGGCCCCGTTTTGGCATCCAAATGTAGCAGAAAAATAGGTTCCTAGAGAGATTAAGGTAAATTTAGTCTTTTTAGCTCTGCTGTAATCGGAAGGTGTGTGGAGCGGTGTGCGATTATTTTTGACTGCAGGCTTGACTGCCATCTAGTGGATTCTAGAATGTAGTGGGTTGTAAGAGGTAGACCTTGGTCCTGAATATTCATGTGGTTTCAGACAATCACTGGGGGAGGAGATGCCCAGTAGGTGGCTGAGGAGTGCATAAATGGTCTAGGGCTTGGAACAGCGGGGGTCCTTGTCATTCTTGGAAGAGTAGCTGAAGTCTGCAGGGGTTCATCAAAGTCCCAGCTCAGTGAGAGATGTGGGCCTATATTCTGAGAGGAGTTGGAGACAAATTTTGCATGTGTTTATTAGCTTAGGGAGGGCTCTATTGTTGCTGCTGCGGGAATATATTGTTGCTGGAAGGATTTAATGATGCTGCAGGAGGGTTTGTTGTTGCTGCTGAGGTTTTTATTGTTGCTGCTGGGAGACCTATTGATCCTGCTGGGGGGATTTAGTGTTGATGCTGGGAGACCAATTGATGCTGTTGGGGGGATTTATTGATGCTGCCAGGGGATTTATTGTTGCTGTTGGTCTGTTTGAGGCAAGCAGTAGAGCTGAGAGGTGGGTTGGAGCAGAGACAAAAACGACCTGGGTTGGTGGGGGGTACTTGCACTTATTCCCTAATAGGAAAACTCTAGTAAGGACACTACCTAGTAGTTTCATGGAAAATTAATGATTAAAGGGAAAAGCATAAAAAAACTCTCATGATAATGAAGCATCTAATTTGACCTCTTGGCAGCAGTCCTTGCCAAGTTGAAATGTAAACATTATGTTCATCATGACTTTTTTCTCCTCCCATGTCAACCATTTGGACATAATTGCAGTTTTATTATTATATTCAGTATTTTGTAAAAAATGTTAATACTTGTATAGATCAGGCCAAACCTATCTATCTATAAAGTGTATGTATATCTAAAAACTTTTTTTGTTTTAGTTTGGATAATGTAGTGAAGGATTAGAGCCCCTGACATATTTTTTATTGTCTGTGTCCCCTCTAGGAAGTTTCACTTTCACGATTTGTCCTGATCACCATTGTCACAGGTCAAAAAGTGATGGGAAATACAACATTTTTATGTCACCAGAGTAAGAATTGGCGGGAAATCTTCCAATGAGGATACCTGTTCCAGTGACAGCTGTCTAAGAGGGGAATTTCCACAAGCACTATGCAGTTCTGGAAAGTGTCCCACGGGAATCCATTGCCTGAAGTTTACAACCAGGTTATCCACAAAACATCCAGTCCAGCAGGGTCTGCATGCAGTATGTTCCCAAAAGCCAGGCCGAGGACTTCTGCACTGGATAACTGCCCCAAGGATGGAATGTTGGGGAAACCACCCTGTTTTACTTACTGTATATAATGCCATAGAACCAGGTGGTTCCACAACTTTCAAACATCCCATCCCATTCCTGGACAATCAGCATCTCCTAAGACACATTCCATTGTGATTAGATTTAGGTGTCTGTGCATAAATGTTGGGCTATCTTTCTGACACCCATTAAAACTGACTAAGTGGCTTGGATGAGCTGTGAAACATTTTCAACATTACAGAACTCTACTAGCTAATGATTACAGAACAACTACTACTAGCTAGACCATGACCTGGATAAACAAGAGCCCTCACAGTCTTCTTTACAATGCCACCAAAATACAAAGCTTCAAAGCTGCCAATATCCTCTGTCTCATCATAGAAGAGGTACTACAGCCTGCAGATTACACACGCCTCTCACCTGCATTTTATCTGCCTTTGTTCTAGTTTCCAGCAGCTTTTTCTCAGTTGGGTTGATCCGTAAGCCTTCATCGCACCACTTCAAAGCTTCTAAATAATTCTTGCTTTCCATGTAGCACAAAACACCTGAGATACAGCACAGAAAATGGTCACTACAATGGTGAACCTTTTATTGTCGTCTATTTCCATGTGACTGTCACATCCTGACCAACAGGGTATTGCTGGAATATGAATTTCCTGCATTCTTCATATATTGGTCTACAGAATCCACAGCCAAACGTTATTGACAATGATATCGGTCCCTAGTGGAGCCTGCATGGATATCTCTAAACATGAAGAATACAATACAGACAATGGAAACAGGAAGTTCAGCTTCCAAGAATGATATATGTATCACTGGCTCAAACTATAGAA